GGGGAGAAACCCTATGTATGTAAGCAATGTGGGAAAGCTTTCAGACTGCATGGTACTTGTAAAATACATGAAAGAATTCACACTGGGGAGAAACCTTATGTATGTACGCAATGTGGGAAATCTTTCACAATGCGTGGTGCTTGTCAAATACATGAAAGAACTCACACACCAGAGAAACCCTATGTATGTAAGCAATGTGGGAGAGCTTTTAGTAAACAACGTTATTGTAGAAAGCATGAAAGAAATCACACAAGAGAGAAACCCTATGTGTGTAAGCAATGTGGGAAAGCTTTTAGTAAACAACGTTATTGTAAAAGACATGAAAGAACTCACACTCAGCATTAAAATCTATGCATGTAAGCAGTATGGGAAAGCTTTCAGCATTATGGTGTTTACCAAAGACATAAAAGAACTCATAATGGGGAGAAACCATATGTGTGTAAGCAGTGTGGGACTCCTTTCACTACACACATGTATTGTCAAATACATGAAAGAAGACTCATTGGGGAGAAACTATATATGTTATGTACACCTATTTTGAAGATCCTGTGAAAATTTACTATGTAGAGGAGACTTGTAAGAATAATTAATACAAAAAGCTTGATGTCAATATTTCTCCATAAAGTTTTCAGAAAATACAATCCCAGATAGAGATATCCTAAAGTACCTACATACATTGTGTTTTTCAGTAAATCACTTAAATATCTGAATTATGTATTTGCAATGTTTAATATATAAATGAGTTCACATAATGAGGTATTTTTGTGTGAGTGTCTTTGAGCTTAATAGATACTATCTTAAGCATGGTGAATTGAAACTTTACTTTCAAGTAGAGTTAGTATTTATGTAGTCTTTCTATAGTCTTTACAGTTGGGAAGAATAGGCCACTAAAAATTTTAATTTTGTTGTTAGGATTTGTCACTACCTTTGTTTTAAATTGGTGTGTATGTTCTCTATTCTGTGTAACAAGATTTTTAAATTTGATGCCATATTTTATATTAAGATACATATTTTCAGTCTTGTAAACGTGTTTTTGACAGTTGATTTTTCTTCACACAATTTGTGCATTAGCATGTTATGTTTCTCTTATGACAAGATAACTGCTTATAGCCCAACATTGTATATATCATATACATAATTTGCCTATTTTTCTCTCAGAGCCAGTATTATCATTTACATAAAATTGGTTTTCTTACCATCAAAATTGTACTTCCCTTATTCATATTCCAATGACTTTTAATTTGGTGGTAATTTTTTCATCATATGTACCCAAAATAACCCAAACTGCTGTGTTTCTGATTGCCACAGACTACCAGAACCATAACTTGTCTCCAAACCGGTATAAATTATAGTAATCTCTCCAAAGTTATAAGTGGCGGTTTGAGTTATCAGAAACAATGCTTTTGAAGAAATTTTTGTCAGCAATGGAGTTGTTTTGGGGAGAATGATTGCTATTGAATGTAATGAGGCAAATGCCTTTATTCCCTAATGCTGTGATGCCGTGCTATCTTTGGTAATCATAATTTCTTTTTGTTTTTTTTTTTTTGGTACCGGGGATACAACACAGGACCTTGCGCTTGCGTGGCAGGCAGCAGAACCACTGAGCTAAATCCCTGGCCCCATAATATGTTTTTGAGACAGTCTCACTGTGTAACTCAGGCTGGCCTTGAACTTACTGTGAAGTCCAGCCTGGCCTCAAACTCAAGATGATCCTCTTCCCAGCCTCCCAGGTGCTGGGATTACAGGCATGCACCACCATACCTGGCCATCATTATTGTTTTTACCTAATAAGCTGAAATAATGGCATAAACAAAAACCTAATTCATGACAGGTATCAGTTTTGTAAAAAATGGAATTTAATAAATTATAATTCAGATTGTGTTTTACTAATTTTAGAGATAAATTTATACAGTGTGATTTTTTCATTATAATGACCACTGTCTGATGTTTGACATATGTGACAAATGCCTTCAAGCACATAGACTGGCCCAAGGTGTGTGCATGAGTCCCAGTTGATCTTCTTTGACCTGTTTTAAATGTCTTTTTAACACTGAAATATTTTCTAAAATGTCTTACACAGTTTCCTCAAATATTAAACTGGTCAATTTCCGATGAGGTTACATTGTTACAAACACGGTATCATGAAAAAATACGTGAGCAATTTATTTTTAAATATCCATACTACAGTGAACATTATAGCTTGCCCTGGTCTTCATTATGCTTAGACACATAAATTACTCACCAGTTGTGTAATATTATTTCTAGAATATCTGATATTCATAACCTGTAGTTAGATTCTTTACTCCTGCTCTGATGTGTCACTTTAAAGGTCACATGTTTAACCATGAGTTTCTAATTGTCCCACAGTGTCCTACTCCCTTGCTAGAGAGAGATTTATTAACAGAAATGGGAGAAATTCACAAATTCTGGCTAGGCCAAAACATTTCACTTGGTGGGACTACACCAGCTCTCCCTGACCAAATTAGCCAACAGATAACTCCTGCTGCATGGTACAAGGGAATACCTGGTAGGGCAAATTCAGCTATGCCAGTAATCATAAGCCTAAAAGATCCCAGCTGATTGCCTAAGCAAAAGCAGTATCCAGTCTAGGAGGAGGCTCATAAAGGCCTCCCACTTCCCATAGACAGATTTCTCAAATACAGCCTTTGAAGCCTTGTCAGTCCCCTTGCAATACTCCCATTCTCCCTGTAGTGAAACCCTCTGGAGAGTACAGGATGGTCCATAATCCCACCTTATTAACGAGGCTGTCATTCCAATCCATCCCCTAGTGCCAGATCCATATATAATTCTGTCCCAAAATCCAGGGGATACTAATTGGTTCTCAATCATAGATTTTAAAAATACATTCTCCAGGGCCGGGGATTTAGCTCAGTGGTTCCAGCGTCTGCCTCACAAGCGCAAGGTCCCGAGTTCCATCCCCGGTACCAAAAAAAAAAAATACATTCTCCATCCTCCTACATCAGGCTCTCTGTTTGCCTTTCAATGGGAAAATCCCATTACAAGAGAAAAACACCAATATATTTGGACAGTTCTGCACAGGTTTAGAGACAGCCCTCACCTTTTTGCTCCGGCACTAGAAAAGACTTGACGAACCTAAAGCTAGAACAAGGAGCCATCCCACAGTATGTAGATGACATTCTCGTTTGCAGCCCAACTCAAGAACTAACCATAACACTACAAGCTCTTACCTTTCTAGCTAAGAAGGGATATAAAGTCTCCAAAGAAAAGGCTCAAATATCCCTCCAAAAAGTTCAATATCGGGGATACATTCTTACATTTGGGGAACAATAGCTGTGTAGGGACCAGATCCAGGCTATCTGTTATCCTGGGTTTCCTGCCACCAAACAACAGCTTCTCCTGGGAATGGCAGGCTTTTGTAAGATCTGGCTACCTAATTTTGGACTAGCAACAAAACCTTTACATGAGGCAATAAGTGTCCCCAAGTCTGTGCCCTTAGAATAGACAAAAGTGACTGTCAGTGCTTTTAGAAAAATACATGTCCTTACTCAGGCTCCCAGTCAGCACTAGGAATACCTGACTTAAGAAAACCCCTCTTCCTCTACATATCAGAAAAGGGAGGAATTGCTTTGAGGGTCTTGACTGAAAGGCTGGAACAAGAACCCCGCTCAGTGGCATACTTTTTAAAAAAGTTAGATGGGGCAGCTGCTGGATGGCCACCCTGCCTGAGAGCAAGGGCAGCCACAGCTGTACTAGCAGAAGAGGCTACAAAGTTAACTTTGCAACACAGACTAGAAGTTCTGACTCCTCATCAGGTCAGAGCTATTCTGGAGACAAAAGGTTACTTGTAGTTAAATGGGGAATGGCTTACCAAATATAACGCTATGCTTTTAGACATTCCTGAGGTTGTTATAAAAAGGTGCGCTATGACCAATCCTGCTTCTTTGATGCCTGTAGGCCCAAAGGTTACCCACTCTTGTAAACAAGTGATTTTGAAGACCTATGCAAGCAAGCAGGACATCAGTGACCTCCCCTCCAAGGACCTGAGGAGGTATTGTTCATTGATGGAAGTAGTTTTGTCCTAACCTTTGGGTCAAAACCCCCAAAGCAATTCCTCCCTTTTCTGATATGTAAAGGAAGGGTCATTGAAGCTAACTCTTTGACTAGCTCTTGGCTGCTCACCAGGATGATAAGGCCTGACAGTGAAAATGAGGACCACTGTTCCCAGGCAGGGGTCAGCAAGGCCTGGGGAACTCAGACCCCAAGCTGCCCAGGAATTCAGTCCTGAACAAAAGTCAAGGCCATGGACAGAGAGGCTCCTCACCTGCTGAGGAGAGACACTCAGCCAGTGGTCTGGGAGACTCTCCTCATAGGCAGCAGTCTGTGGGACATATAACACTGAGCACAGGTCACAGGGTAGAGGGTCATGAGAGGAGTGGGTGCAGCCAGATCCAGAGGGGAGGAGGAGCACTGGAGCATGACCGCCTCAGGTGCTCACCAGAGGAGCCAGCAGGGTCACCAGAGAGGGTGTGACTGGGACCCAGGATGGGCCAGGCCAGGTCAAACAGAAGCAGGGCCGGGTAGCTGAAGAAGTGTGGTCCGGCCACCTCTGAGTAGATGGGGCCTGGCCTGGCAAAGGTACAGCAGGAGACACCCCCTTCAAGCTGAAGCACCAGACTCCAAGGGAGCCCCTGGGGCATTTAGGCTGGTGAGGCCTCCCTATGCAGGTCCTGTCTGGCTAGGGCTGCACTAGGGGCTCTCAGGGGTGCTGTCCATGGGGAGGAGGGTGGCAATGACTTCTGAGAGAAGCAGCAGCTGAACTGTGTCCACCCTCAGGAGACAAGGGGTCCTGTCCCACCCTCGGGCTACACAGGAGGTCAGAGATCCATGGGTGCCCCACAGGGCAGAGTTGAGGCCTTGGCCCAATGCTTCTGTACATGTGGTCTGTGCTTTGGGGCTCTGTTTGCCAAGAAAGCCCTCAGTGATGGCTGGGTGCTCCCCCCTCCCTGCCCCTGTGCAGTGCCCACCCTGCAACTCCAAACATAGCTGTTTCCGGAGGCTGGGGCATCCCAGGCTGAACTCAGGGAACCTGTATGACACCCCTCTGTGCCCTCCTCACAGTTCAGCACTCTGCCCTATGCCACCCTCCTTGCCTGTTCTGCCATGCACGTGTCCCTTCACACTGGTTGGGAGGCCAGGTCCACAGAACCCAAAATAGGCTGTCAAGACCCTCTCTGTGTATGGGCCCAGGCAGCTGCCACAGGAGCCCTCCCAGGACATTGTCCCAGGAGGCCACAGCAGCACATTCTGCCCTAATCTATTAACCAGCCAATTAACTAGTTACTCTGTGTGGTCAGATGAGTGTGAGCCCTGACTCTCTTGACTGCCTTCAGGGAGGTGTCTGGACTGGGTCTACTATCTTGGTTCCTTTGTGGGAAGTAACTGTAGGGATGGGGAGCAGGCTGCAGCCTGGATTGGGGCAGGGCAGAGGAACCTTGCAGGCAGGAGGGCTCAAGGAAGCTCCAGGTTCCTCACCTAGGCAGGCACCTAGAGCCCCCTTGGGCCTCCAAGTAGGGCTGCCTCCCTCTGCACCCTCAACCTGCTGGCATCAGGGAAGTCAGCACCATCCTTCTTTATGCACAGAGCTCTCTGCTTCTTTTCCACCAGGGGTGTGTCCTTGGCAGAGATATCCAGTAGGGGATCCTGGGGCTCTGCAGGCTCTACTCTGTGTACCGAATCAGTGAAAGGGACTTGAAAATTCACACTGTCATTAACATGTTTTCTGCACCTTACTATTTTAAGATTACTTCTCTTCCAAATTTGTAAAAACAAATAGTGAGATCTCTGTGAATAATTTAAGCTAGATCACATAAAATTATTTCCATGAAATGTATTTTTATATATAAATGCTAATAATTGAATTTTTGTTTTTGTCAGGTGAAACACCGAAAACCAAGACGCGACCAGGCCACAACAAGCCTTTATTAGGGGAACAGATCTGCCAGGCTGTCTCTGAACAAAGGAGAGACAAAAGCAATATGGCCAGGACAAGCAAGTGCCTTTTAAAGGAGCGGGGGTGGGGCTTATTGGAGCTGAGGTGGGGTTGAGTGAGGTAGTGACTAGGTACTGGAGGAGCCTGTGATGTCACTAGTTGCTAGGAGGAGAGCAAGTATTAGGTTACTCTTTTGTTTTTGTTTTTGTTTTTTTTGGTACTGGGATCGAACT